CTGTTTCAACTTGATTCTGAGCCTGATAGTACAGACATGGACCTTGTTGATAGATCTAACACAAAACATCATAATCACCATTTTCAGCTTACAGCTTACAGCACATACAAAGAGTACCTACATGTAGCATAACCATATAACGCTATTACAATGCCCAGTCTTTCTGTGTACCTTTAAACAAAGTTGAGTTGATCTCACACTTGTAAATGTGCATTGATAGATATTCTGCAACTTACCAACAGAAAGTAAAGACTTTAACCATCATATTTGGAACTCACTCATCAATACAACTCAGTATAAATATTACAAATATTACATACTGACTTTTAAGCATTACAGAACCTCAAAAGTACATTCCATAGTTAACTTTATCAAATTATGGCAGACGGTACTGTACCAAATAAAATGTCTTAATAATAATATTTAGAATGTTTGGAAGGGTGATGTGACTACTTGAAATCAATCCTCACTACTAATCCACACTTTCCATAAATTTCACACCTGGAGTCTCAAGCAGCTTTCTTCTGGTAAGTCTAAGATAGTGTTAATATTTGCAGAATCTTCCCATCTGAAAGTTATGCTGCCCTCTGTTGCACATGACCTCCACTGATGTCCATACCTGCAAAATCAAGCACATGTGGAATCAAAACACAGTAAGAACCATGTAAAGTTCTTAATGGATGTTCACACAAATAAACATAAGAGTATGCCTGGTATCCAATCAAACTTGGGGGGAAAGTCTAGTAAATACCATGTATGATTAAACTGTTACTAGTATTAGTAAGATATTGTCTATACTTAAGTTAATACAGCTCTAAAAGCTGGATTAACTATTTTGCTGCAGCTGTAATGTCCTAATGCACAGCACATGTCTGACCTTTTTCTGTAATTCATATTCATATATAAGAGATGATAAAGTTTACCTATCCTTCTGTCTCCTGCCACTTGATGTACTGGATGACCGTATTCTTCAGCTGGGGTCCAATCAGGGGATTCAGCTGGGCTAGAGTTGCTACCAACCAACTGGAGGCAAAATCACCATAACTTACAAATGTGCATCAACACAGGTCTTGTAGTAAGTTGTACAGTACAACATAAGGCGATGATGATAAGCCAAAATCACTAATTGAAATCCTTTTGACAATGATATCAACATTCAGAATTTTGTGATTTTGTATTTTTTTCATATCCACTTTTTCATACCTGCCCCAATGTTAGCAATAGCAATACATAAAAGTAACCCATATTCTACGCATAAAGCAGTGATATAGTATTACATGTAGCTTGTGATGAGGTTTTATTAATTTGCTAGATTTTTAATCTGTGCCAACTGGATGTTGAGCTGTAAATTATGCATATATCAAGGTAGCCGTGGACGACTCTGGTAACCCTTTTTGTCTGTCGTAAACTCAGGGTCCGACCTGTTTTGCGGGCCGATTCCTGAATTCAAAATGGCGCCGATCGCTGATGATTTGTATGGAGTTACGTGCTCCGAGGCCGTGTTGTGGTTAAATGCTGCGTTTGTTTAAGGTCTTATCCCCCGGCCCGGCAGGTGAGTGCGTCGGGAAGCCAGGGACACCAAAAATCCGGGGCCGGCCCGTTGCATGAGGCCCGGCATGGCAAAGGTTGGTTTTGGCCTATGTAGCGCCCCACGACTCTGTCCCCGGCATTATCATGCAAAAAGGGTTACCAGAGTCGTCCACGGCTAATATCAAGGCATCAGCAAAGGCAAAACAATGTGTTTCATACTTACAACACATAACAGCATACTGCAGTTGTCACTATCATTGTCTGGATGACTCTGAAATAAACGAACAGAACAATTATCACAAATTATAAGATACATGTGACATAATTTTATACATGGTGGACACTGGTAGTGGGAGGGCGTGAAAAGGGGTCAACCGGATTCACGAATATTTTTTTGCACTGAAATCACCAGTTCTAGCAACAATTCTCACTGCATTGATCATTTAACCACAATCCTGACTTTCCTTACCCTCTGTTAGGTCCTTTAGGGATGGCCCACGGCACTCCAGCGCCGATGATCAGCCAGAAAAGTGTCACCACAACCAGCGGAATAGCTACCCCCACCATCTTGAAATGTGACGTACTGTCATATGACATTAGGGCAGAACATAGCACTTTATTGGACAACACTACGTTATAGATGATAATTCTTTAACATCTAAACGGGTGCTAACTAAACTCTACACTTGCTTAAAAATAAAATCAAGTTTTAAAGATAGGGCACAAAACTAACTGGTACAATTTGTTGAGTTATACGGTCATACCAGTGCATTTTTATTTGAATCTGTGGAAGTGTACAAAGGCGCTACGTTACAGTCGCACTGCCGCTCACCAAAATGGCGGCGCCCGTGAAAAAAATTCCGTCCGTCAGATGTGTGATGGAAAGTATGAAAATACTTGTTTCTCCGGACCAAGGATCAACAGGTACGTGTCGCAAATGTACAAAATTAAGGAAAGGCTGAGAGGCAGTGTCGTTCCTCCAGAATTTTTAAAGCTTAAAGTCACTATCATCATCATCACTTCGTGGAGATGTGGGAGGGGGGCATTTTTTCAACAACTTTGCAAGGAGTAGCTAGTAGCGCCTTGTAGTGTTGCAATTTATGAAAAAAAGCACAACAAATAAGTCCTTACAGCTTATGTGAAGTGAACTACATGAATATTGCATGACATAGGACTAAAGATGGAATAAGCATATGCACAATAAGCATATGCACAATAAGCATATGCACAATAAGCACATGCTGAGATAAATAATTATGGTTGAACTGCTCTCATGACAAACATCATGGGGACATTGCCAAAAAATTTGCAAAATTTTCAAGTTTTCATGACACACACTGATATCAACTCCATCTTACATACATGTAGGTATAAATGAAGCCCAGGACCAAGCTACCAGGTTTGACGCCACCTTGTCATCCAACATCGAGCAGTTTCACACAGCTTTGAAGAAGGACAGCAAATATGAATCTCTTCTCAGACTCGTACAAGAACTTGAACTCTCAGTTCAATCAGACGATATCAGATACAAGTTCACACTTGAGTGTTTGAGGCTGATCAAGTGTCTCAAGATTGCCATGGTTGAGGCCATGAAAGAGTTTAGCAAATCACAAGACAAAAGCACTGAGGATGGCCAATCAGCACCAAGGACTGGGGGCAAGAGCCAATCAAGAGTCAGGCAAGATGATGTAGCTCCTCCCCTTTCACCTGACACTCTGAGCGTTGCCCAGCAGAATACACTTTCCACAGCTCTGCAGTTTGTTGTGTCCCTTGGGATCTGTCCCAATCTGCTCCAAGGAGTAGGCATACCCTTGGAAAAGAGGTCGAGCTTTGGAAATATGCTGCAGACTTCACAAGAAGACAAGGACTCTTTATCAGAGAAAACCATCAAGCTTTATACTGTGCTTGACATTCTACTGGATTGTGTTGAGCAGCCTTCTCTTGGAAGTAAGATTTTGTCAAGGTATTTTGTAGATATGTTGTCAGCCCTCATCCAAATTTGCTATGGCCCGAGGCCTAAGTTGTGTGCTGCACACAAAGACTTGGCTACAAGTAAAGCAGAGCATAGCAAAGGTACAAGCTCTGAAAATGATCAGCAAAGCTCAAAAGGGGCCACAAATTGCAACAGTTCTGGAGAAGGAAAACAGGAGACTGATGGGGAAATGACCAGGGAAAGCAAAGGACAACTCGAAGTAGCTTCATCAACGGAAGTGACCCCTGAAATGTATGAACAATGCAGATCCCATCTTCATAGGCTACTAGAGAGGATGTACCAGCCTCTTGTGGTGAGAGAACTTTTCATTCTTCAGGGAGGATCAGGTGGTGTGAGAGGATTGAAAGGAAATCTGTCTCTCTCCTGGCTGAGGAAGGCCTGTGGTCAGCTACTATCAGAGAGGCTGATGAGACCTGGTGGGATGGAGGCTGTAATGATGGGATATCTTGCAGGTTAGGATTTTTTTCCAACAAAATTTTAAGCATGACAGTACACTAATATATTTATTACTCAGCGGCTGAGCCATAAATCTAGTACATCCATTGACAGAAAGAAAAATTATTACATGTGCAAACTAAGATATGCAAGCAGGTAATCCATATGTTATTTGTAGGGGGAATGCCAACCACAGGAATGCCCCAGGATTCAGTGGAGTGGAAGAAGTGTGAAGCAGTGGCCAAGCTTATTGCTACCTGTCCACAACATGCCACATCTAAGGAGGCCTACTACAAGTTCATCTCTCAAGAGGTACAACATGCATGATAGCATTTTCATGGTTGTTCCAGATTATTAGAATAGATTGCTCACACATTTGTCTAATGAATATCTCATTGCATATTTCTACCCCATAATAACATCTATGTATTTATCGTTATTATCCTACAGATCCTGTTTCTGATCCATCTATCAAACGATAAGGTGCTGGAACCTGCTTTACTCAGGGTTGCCTCTGTTGCCATGGCAACCATTGTATCTCAGCACCCTTTGCAGGCTGAGAAGTATTTGCTGGACCCTCTGCTGCAGCCACTTCTTGTCACCATAAAGGTTTCAGGTCAGTCACCACTAGAGCTTACCTACTAAACGTTAAAGTAACACAATATAAATTGAAGCAGATACTAGTACATCACCCTTGAACGTATTTAATCTTGATCTAAAATGAATTGTTCTGATGATTTCAGACCAACAAACAGATAACCCAGTGATAGTTGAAGATTCATCCCTGACCAAGTGCATAGTGAATGTTCACAAGGTGTTTGTGTTGGGAAGTGAACCCGGGTCACGTCTGGTGGTGAGCTTAAGTCCTGTCATCCACCCACTGTTCCAGCTGCTGTGTTTCACCAGGAGAGGGGTGTCACATCTCAGGTAATATCTCTGGATGGCTAGCACATCTATATCTTCTACTTGAAAGTTAAGCCACTACTAATATGCTATGCTGGAAATTGCCAGACTTTTGTACGTGTAGTTGAGTCTTGTGACCAGGAAAAAGTGTTTTGCTCAGAAATATTACCATAGTATAATCCATTTATAATATAGTGGTACATGTATAACAACAATGTAACAACTTCTGTTCAGTGTACCTTGCACACACTTGTCCACCATTCAGTTGAATATTTCTCATCTGTCTAAGACAATGCTCTAAGTTAATACATGTGTCAGGTTCACTACAAATGATTTGTGTGCTTCTAGGTCCAGAGTTGAAGAGATACTAGTTAGCTTCCTGAGGGGAGTGGACATAGAGACTGGCTGTAGGCACCTGTGGCACATCTCCATCCCTGGTGAAGGGTCCGATCTGCCTGCCATGAACAGCAGCCTGCAGTTTGCTCCAGGGCCAGCAGGAGGTGCTGTTGTTTTGAAGTGTTCAAGGTTCGTTGATTATCACAGCATTTTCCTGCGTTGTCTTCAGTGCTATTTAAAAAAATTGAAAGAAAAATCTGGAAAATAATCAATGTTCCAGCTTTTTGATTGACAGTTACACTTCTTTCTTTATATTTTGTTTTTCATTGTGGAATTTTTGTTTCCCTCATCAGTGAGGTACAGCTTCCTTCACTGACAGACCCAGAGACAGAAGACAACATGGCTGCAGCCTGCATGTGTGACCTTCTGGAGAAGTTAGAAACTGACAAGACGCCAGGAAACTTCTTTGTCACTGTTCTCAAGGTCAGGCTCATTGTAACCAGTATACCTTGTATGTATAAATGTTAAGGATGCCAGTCTAAAATATGATCCAAAAGGGTTTAACCTGTATAATGTACGATATAAACATTATGGTTTCAGGAGCTGACAGCAATCATGTCCTCCAGTCCTGGGGTAACCCTGCAGCCCAGGCCTGGTGTTGATGAAGCTGGTGCTCTGTTGGAGATAGAGGAGAGAGAAGCAGCCTTACAGGCACAAGCTGCCAGGGGCATGGCCATTCTGCAGCTGTTAGGTGCCATGTGTGAAAGGCTAGGTGAGTATTGATGATAAAGTCTAGGCATCATTTTTAAATACAACCAGAAAGAATGAACTAATTTCTACATTTATGTAGTTCATACATTTACATGAACATCATACTTTCTGTGATGATGAAGCCAATTTGACTTTCTTTGCATTGGAGTTTCCCAACAGTGTATTCATCAGATTGAGATTTTTTGTCGTGTATAACACCATTTGTAGTATCAATTTACAAAACAAATGTCACTGTACTTGTGTTCCCCAGGACCGTCAGTTCTGAGAAGTACAGAACACGTTTTGCAGTTTGTTGCTGCCACCTTGCAGAGGGGATGTGAACTGCAGCTGGAAGGGACCTGTCCCAAGCAGACAGGCCTGGACACAGATGAAACACTGTGTCTGGCTATGGGGCTTACAGCTGCTGTCATGGGAGGGGCAATGGAGGTTCGTTTGTTTCTTGTTCCAAAATTACATCAATAGTAAATAAGGCCTGGTTGTAAGTGTTGTATAGAAATGGAAAAAAATGTATGCAAGGAAGTTCTGGTGACAAAAGTTGCATTGCTGATAATAGATGCTTGGATTGTGTTTGATGTAACTTCTTGATTAAACATTTTGAAAATTTCACATTATGAATGCTAATTAATCATGTACATAGAATTGTAGAATGCTCGCATGTGAATTTACATAATAGTTTTCTTGTTTCACAGGTAAAAGAAGACGATAAACAACACTTTGAACTGATGTTGCCATGGTTGGAACAGCTGAGAAACAGACATGCTAACCCAGCAGTGCAGGAGATGGCAGAGGACCTTCTGATCGCCATCAGAACTCACTGTGCTGTAGTCATGGATACGCTGGACTCTTCTGTCAAGGACCTTGCTCAAAAGGCTGCTCAGGCAGCACAAAGAGATAAAGAAAGACCAGCAACAAGCAAGAGTGAAAAAGCTCCTCCAGCAAGCAAGTCTTCATTGGATGTTAGAGATGCGACAGGAAACCAAACTACCGGTAGCAGGTCAAATGAAAATGTCGAAAACAAGGCAGAGGAAGGCACAGTACAGGAAAGCACTGACTATGATGAGGCCTTAGCCCTTGTCAATCACCCAATGGTTCCTATGAAGGGACATGGACTCATAACTCTGTCCTCTCTGTTAGAAAAGAAGGACTCCAAGGCCATGGCTGAAAAGGAAAGACTTCTCAAAGTTTTTGAGGAAAATTTGGACCACGAGGACTCCTATATTTACCAGGCCTCCATACGTGGTCTGGCAGCCTTAGGTGAGAGCATATTCATCTTCTGCCACTGTCATTTGCCATTAAACATTTGATGAAAGCTGATGGAAAGATAAATCTAACATCTGAATGTATCTATCCCTTCTTAGGTTCTCATTTTCCTGAAGTTGTGATTCCTGAGATCTGTGACCAGTTTGCTAACTTCAGGAAGGAAGGAAAGAAGAATAAGAGACGTACAGAAGACAGGATGAAGCTGGGGGAAATCCTCACCAAAGTCACTCGTTCACTAGGTACCAATTACAGTAACATCTAGCAGTAGTACTGGTAGTACATTCTGCTTAAAATATCTTAAATAAGGACTTTACTGGAATGCATTTTAGAACATTGAGTTCAATGCAAGAAAGCACATATTGTAAGTACTTACATGTACACATACATTTGTCTGTCATCTATTCTAGGAAGTTTGCTTCCCCACTACTCCCAGCCCCTGTTGGCTGCCCTGCTGTGTGGTGTAAGGGACCCTGACACACATGTCCGTGCCAGTAGTCTCGCCAACTTGGGTGAAGTCTGCCATCTCCTGAAGTTTTCCATAGGACCCATTATTCATGAGGTATCTATTTACAGAACTATTAAGGCCTTTGATCAATTACTACATGTAGTAGGTAATTCAAATATACGTAATTCATAATAGTGTATGTGACATTTACATATTATATTCTTCCCCGCATAGATCTTTGCGTGCTTGAGTGGTGTGTTGAGCAGCGACCCTGAGGCCACAGTGAGGAATGCAGCAGTGACAGTTGTGACTCAGCTGCTCAGGGGGCTTGGTGTAGATGCCATCAAGGTGAGACTAGACACATGTACTCATTTTTTCATCTTTCCCTGACTGTGGACCTCTTAACTTACCCAAAGCTGTAGGGGTTAAAATGGAACTTAGAAGCAGAATGGCAAGTAATGTAAAGTGCCTGCCTGCCCGTTTTGGCTTACATGTACACTTTACCCCATAGACTCCATGACTTTTTGGTACAACACTTTCATTCTAAATGCATGACGTTTAGCTATGTTGCTTGTACTTGCAGGTGCTGGATGCAGTATTACGAGACTTGTACCGGCTCCTCAAGCACACAGCACAAGTAGAGAAGGATGACACTACCAAGACACATGTCTACATAGCACTGGAGGAGTTAGACACCATCATGAAAGACTTCCTCTTCCCAAAACAAACTCTTGAGAAAAAGATAACCGTTTTGCCTTAGAATGGTAATGTTGTCTTCAGATGGACAGAAGAGTCATACATTGTACTTACATTTGGTGAAATAATGCAAGTGTGAGTGTGAGTGTGAATGCAAGACTCTAAAACAAACATTGTACATTTCTTAACACTTAAACATTTTATTACTCCTTCCTGCAAGACATATAAAAATAGTAACACATTATTGTACTAAAACAAAACTTGTCACTAATATGAAATAACACTTTAGTTTAAGACAAACATGTTACTGGTTTTCATGTTTCAAATAAAATGTTTCCCTTTTTAATGTCTACATGTACCTTAACTTCAAACAATAAACCATCCACATAACCACAACTGGAAGTTCAACATACTAAGCTTCTATGGGTTACATACTATATACTACAAAATAGAAACATTTCTAAATCTGAATACAGCTGTTACATACAATCATATTCTATAAGCCCTCAAAAGCTTACGGCTGAAAATATGTATTCTGCTAGTCTACCACATGAACAATATGACATAACCTACCATACTAAAATTGAAATGGAATTCCTCAAACATACAGAATGATGGAACATCATGACTGAAGAAACCAGGTATTCTGAGATACGAACCTACTGACTGTGGCACTACTAAGAGACTTTAGTAAGCTACATGTATATATGATTGATGAAGAATATAACAGTTTGAATCTCTTATAGACAGTAGTCTGTTTCAAAACTACATTCCATTTATAACATGAAAACAATAATTACATAAACATAATTTAAGACATCAATGAGCTAAATATATAATGAACATTAAGTGTACTTTGATACAGTGCAAAGCAATTTTAAAACCACTGAGACAGCACACATTACAAACGTTTAGTATAAAATCTAAAAAAGATGCAAAGCTACCAATATTATTCAAAACACCATATCAAAATGCAACAATATACATATAAAGCACATTAGAAGCACAAACAAAATGTACTTAGCAAGAAGTTTCTGTGATCTCACATCACAAGCAACAATTACAGAATTCATGACCTACACATTTAGAACTTTCAACATCAGCTTTTGTCACATTGTCTTAAAATGAACCTTGAACTTGGCTAAAATAAACAAACCGCTCCATGAACAATTGGCACTGCATGTATAATCTACTACATACGGAGCATCAGGCAGTTCAATCCTGTATGGTAATAACATCGTACTTGTTCCTTTCTGTGCCTGAGGAGTTGGATGTCAGACTATGTATAACCTCCCAAGGTTTATGATGGTACAAACAGTTGGACAGTATATAATTCTGTATGTAAAACTTAATCCAAATATTTACAAAACCCTTCACTGGCCAAGATTCATCTACTTTTGCCCCATACTATTCAAATGGCGCTTTGGGCATCAAGATGTTACACTGATTTTACAGTAAGAGTTAAGACCAGTATGTTATGAGTTGTTGTAATATTTGTTGTCATAACAGTCATTTTGGATCCCTCTCCTGACTGACCTTCAACACAGCAGCCATATTATCATAAATTCCTCAGCTGTCATGGCTCTGCAAATCTTCATATTGAACTGCTCATCAGAACACTGCTTCAGGTAGTGTCCAGTCGTATGGTGCGAATCTTGTTCCTGTCAGCCAAAACACACGCTGCCTCGTTTGTCCCACCACAGTAGTGGGAGGAGGAGAAGACAGTCAGCAGTTTCCCATGTTGTTGTACCTGGCAGAAAACGTGAACAAAAACTTATTTTGATAAGCTCCTGATGTCATCATGCATCCAACTTCCAGAGTCAGCATCGACCAAAAATTTATGGTGAGTTCCCTTCTTGTGTTGGAACAAAGCTTGAAGTTTGCAACTATGGATTCTACCAACACAGATGACCTTTCATTCAAAAAACCCATTTACTGATCTCTCAAGTTGACATAAATGTAGTGTCCTTTCAATGTTCACATCATAATCAACCATCTACAGGCAAAAAATACTACTAAAGATATTTATACAGTCATTAGGTATTTTAATAAAATATTTTAAAACAGATACGTGTAATGTTGTTACCTGGAAGCCTGCCTGCTGCACCTCGTGAGCCCTGACGACATGAGAAAGCCCGTTTCTGACCAGGAAGTCCTGCAGGGCCTGGTGACTGAAGGCGTGGGCCGTCCCACGTTTGGGGTTCTGGGTGAAGCCGTGGTTTGTTTTCAGCTCCTCCTGCATCTCTGGATCGATGTCATCAGAACTTAGCTGATGGGAAGAAAGAGAGCCTCTAAGTTACTAACATTATCACAAGCTTTGGATCTGAATAGGCAGCTATGTCAAAGCAGTGTAAAGAACACAAACCTTACAACAAATCATTAGAAATTTATCCAAAAGAAGTGCTTTCAAGTGTTTGCAATTGTTCCACCATACATTGCCTAACTCTGCTTATCTTTGATAAACTAATGCAGCATAAAGAAACAAACATACAGGATCTGCCCACATCAGTTCCCATGCCAAAGGACTCTCGCTCTCCGGATCGTGCAGTGGTACTGGGATCTTCTCCATGTCTGCCAGCAGGCCGGAGCTGTGCCACAGACTGGGGATCCCCCCGTGGGCACAGAAGATGTTGTTGTCCACCACTGCAGCAACAGGCATGGCGTCAAAACACTGGTTAATGGCCTCCCACACCTCCAGACCCAGCTTGTCTCCAAACTTCTGAAGACACTCCGTGTGGAAGGAGAACCTCTCCTGGACGGCACGCAGCTCGTGGTTCCCTCGGATAAGAAAGACCTTGTCTGGAACAAGTAGCTTCTGGGCAAAGAGGTAGGCCACCTGTATAGATGAACAAAAGTAATGAACATTAGACAGAAATTTGTTAAAAACATTATCATTGCCAATAGTTTTTAAGACCATAAGAAATATGGTTTAATAAACAATCATAAAGTGCAGAGGTTGTTCAGTAAAATCAAGAAGGAATTGAAAAAATTAAAGCTTAGCCCCAAAATATTTAGATACTGAGTACTTAATTTTAAAGCAACCATCCTTTGGCAAAGAACCAGCAACTGTTAGTGTACAAATGTAGTACTTGGTGAGTGTACAGTAAACAGTGAATAGGAAAATGAGTACCAGTAATAGACAATGCACTTACCACTTCAATGCCACACTCTCCCCTGTCCACATAGTCCCCCAGGAACAGGAAGGATGCAGGAGTCAGCAGGACACCCATCCTCCACAGGGCCTTCTCAAAACACACCAAGTCCTGGAAGTTGCCATGCAGGTCTCCTGTAAAGGGAAGGAAATAAAGCATAGCTTGTTTCATATCAAATTCAGCAATGAAATATACTTACAGTGTCAAAATAGTTCTGGTACTACTATGTGGGAATTGTTATACCTTAATATATAATTCTTTTAAATCCATGATTCCATCTCTTCTGTTGTATGCTGACTTGCAAGGTTCAGTATACATTGTACATTCAAGAATTAGCATCATAGGGCAGATTATAATTATTTTAGGTGAGAAGAAATATATCTAAGATTCACAAGAAGCTGCACATTTAGAATAAGTCATGATGAAGGTTTGTAGTTGTATCTCACCTAGAATGTAAACAGGTGCCTGCACTTTGAGCAGCCGAGGTTCATCCATGAAGACATTCTTCACCTCATGGCAAATAGACAGTAGACACTTGGCAAAGGCTGGTCTGTAGAGAAGGGGACAAAGCATATGTACCGTGGCCGACAAGAACAAAATTTTACACCGCAACTTTTGGTGTTTTACACCGCAACTTTTGGTGTTTTACACTGCAACTTTTGGTGTTTTACACTGCAACTTTGGGTGTTTTACACTGCAACTTTTGCTGTGTTTTACACTGCAACTTTTGCTGTGTTTTACACTGCAACTTTTGCTGTGTTTTACACTGCAACTTTTGGTGTTTTACACTGCAACTTTTGCTGTGTTTTACACTGCAACTTTTGCTGTGTGGAAAACTTACACCCCTCCCTTTTATAATGGACGGTCCCCCTGTCAGGTCAAAGGTGACAACGATGGCATGCAAACTACGTCGACTGAGTTATCCTTTTCGTGCATAAGTTTTTTAGAGGAAAAGCTTGGCTACGTTGTGACGTTAGTTTTTTTCTAAAGGTTTTTCTAGCTTTGGCCTATAGATCGGGATAAATTTGAAAATGTTTCGACCAGGTCCAGTGATTACAAATTATGTTGCTATCTAGTGAATGTTGGTAACGTTTGCACCGCTACGTGTTGATGTCGACGCATGGTATGATAGAAATGATGTCTGTCTGAAGGCGTAAATATGTAATTAGCTTAAACTATCGTGGCATGATGTCATAAACGCTTGCATGCGGCGATAGTCGTCTTCCACGTTTCCCCGCCTTTGAGTCACGTGACATTTTCTAGCTAGAGAATTCGGACTCGCAAGGTCGCTAATAATTTGATGAGTAAATATTGGGCCTATGGGAGTCAAATGTGGCACCACTTGGTACTATGAAGCAATAAAGACTTATTTTCAATTATGAAGTGTTGACTCTTGACTCAGGTAAGTTATCGATCATTAGGGAACAATACGAGCGATCGCCATGACGTCACCGTAGGCAAAAAGTGGGTAGCCAGTTGGCTGATTTGCCTACCAAGAATTTGCATATGTCTTCAAATAATTTGCATGCGTATAATGTAAACAAAAACAGCGATCGCTCGTATACAAATGTAGCCTAGACACTGTGACTCTCAGGCCGCCGCCATCTTTGTCACTTTTGACCTGACAGGGGGACCGTCCATTATAAAAGGGGAAGGGTGTAAGTTTTCCACACAGCAAAAGTTGCAGTATAAAACACAGCAAAAGTTGCAGTGTAAAACACCAAAAGTTGCAGTGTAAAACACAGCAAAAGTTGCAGTGTAAAACACCAAAAGTTGCAGTGTAAAACACCAAAAGTTGCAGTGTAAAACACCAAAAGTTGCAGTGTAAAACACAGCAAAAGTTGCAGTGTAAAACACAGCAAAAGTTGCAGTGTAAAACACAGCAAAAGTTGCAGTGTAAAACACAGAAAAAGTTGCAGTGTAAAACACCCAAAGTTGCAGTGTAAAACACCAAAAGTTGCGGTGTAAAACACCAAAAGTTGCGGTGTAAAATTTTGTACTTGTCGGCCACGGTACATATGTATTACCTACATACATTCTCTCTGTAAAATCTATATAATGTTCCATAAATAGTTCAAACCAAAGTGATACAATCTTGACTCCTGGAAAGTTGCCAACATTGAATTCAAAGTGACTTTTATCTTACTTGTTCACAGGGCCCCATTCAAAGCTTTTCTTTTCAAGAGTTCCATCCGGCTTTTTGACTGGACGTTCAAAGTAGCGCAGACCAGTCAGCATCTCGTTGGGATGAGACTTCTGGTTGAAGCACTGTACAGAAGGCAGGCGCTGGAAGCGGGTCTTGTCCCCCTCCAACACAGTCCCGATGCTGTGGCTCAGGGCACTGGTGCCCTGTAGGTCCCACAGGGTATTTACGTCCGACACAACACCTGTTCTCCTCACCTATCCAGGAGCAGAAAGGAGAGAAAATGTAAGACATTATGAACAGTATTTACAAGTTAAAAGTATTGTGAAGCATAAAAAATGTGTTTTACATCTTTATCTACATCTCTATATTGATTTCTGACTTTTAAGATTTTACTATTACTTGATACAATGTTTAAAACAACACCAACCTTTACTGAATGCAGAGCCAGCTCATACTTGATTTCAACGTCTGGTAGCTCAACATCTGACTCCTTGCCTGAGCTGTCCGACTCGGGACCAGCCTCCCATTTCTTCCTCTTGGATGGTTTCCTTTCCCTCCGTGGGGCTACATCAGGCACGTCCCTGCCTTCAGCCCCCAGATTGTTCATCTTGGCATCCAGACTTCCTGTGAAATCGTGAGGTAGTCGGAATAACAGAGAGGTACCCCGGAATTTCAGTGAGCCCACGGCACTGAGAAAGTCTGCAAGGGCAACCCCACCATTGCCATCATTTGCAAACAGTTTTAAAGCCTTAGCTGTCTCCTCCTTCAAGTCTTCGGCTGTAAGCTGCCTCCCCTTGTACTCAAAGATGTCTGCAACAATTGACTGAAGCTCTTCTTGCTTCAAGATCCCATCAGAGTTCTTGTTGTAATATCTGAAAATGTAGCGGCAACGGATTTCTGCCGGCATCCCGCCATGTGGGACACAGGGTTGGAGAGCTGCCATACCCAGTAAGAAGTCCTTTGCATTTAGCACGTGCTGATTGCTGGTATCAAATGCCCTGAACAGGTTGATGCACTTCTCCATTGGCACTTCTTTATCTGAAAAATACCTGACAAATGTCTGACAACCCATGGTGATGCTGGGATAGCACACGGAGTAGAAATCTTGCAACAGTTCCTCCTGTTCTTCCTGCTTGAAGTTAGCAGCCTTAAAGAGACTTTCCTCATGGTCCTCAAAGCTGCTACTCTCAGTTGCCATGGTGATGGAATGAAGGATAGAGAGAGGGGCCACGTGGCCATCGTCCTGTACATGCCTGAACCAGCTGATAGGCTCATTTCCCAGAAGGCCTTGATCCTGAGTAGAGAGTTGCTGCAACTCCTGGAGGGTATACCATGATGCTTTGCTCTGTAGTTCCTGACATAAACAAAAATTAAATATCTGCTGTAAATACTGATGAGTAACATTTGGTAACGATTCAACTTGTAACAAATCTTTTTTTATTCAAACACTACAACCAGTCTGCAAATTCAATTCTTAAATCGTCTTCCTTTTATTCACAATATAATCACCTGTTGCTCTACTCACCAGAGGTATGCTGTCACCGTGTCCCTCCTGTGAGCCAGACAAGGTCACCATGACCTTGGGATGGGATGATGTCATCACTGCTGTCTGTCTCACCTCCAGAACTCCATCAATATCTATGCCTGGTGGAGTCAAATTAGGAAGAAAATAAAATTTGTTACCTTAATCACTGGCAAACAGCATAAATACTAGTAGTTAAAATATGCTGATGATGGTGGCAATCTGTACTCATTGTGTTGTAGACCATACCAAAGTCTCTGTACTTGTTAATAAAGAATCAATCAATCAATCAATCAATCAATCAGTCAGTCAATCAATATGATTACAAGTGCATTGATACATTACAAACATTAGCTGATAGTATTATGCAGTTCAACTGTTGTACCTACCTAGTCCACACTTCTCCCTGACTACTGTCCTGGCTGCCTCCACAAAACCGTCTCCATCTCCCACCTCTGTGTAAGGCAGCCACCATCCTCTGTCTTCAGTGTAGGTCAGGAGACATTCTGTACAAGGTTTCTTGGCAACAAAGACTGCTATGGCACCTCTTGAGTTGGCCATGTTATCACTACCCTACAAGAAAAAAAATGAAAGTTTCACATTGGTAAAAGCACACATCACAATTCTTTTGGGGAAGTTTAAGAACAAGTCACGTGCACAAAAATTTGTTACAAATTTCATCAATAGAACTAGTGGTGACTAATGCAGTAATGGTGAGAGCAATCCCATTCCACTGCCATTTTATTTCTCGATACAACACTGAGAGAAATAAGGCAATCAATAGAGGGGCTTTGAAATATGTCTACAGCCTTGTGGGTGTGGTCATCATTATTACTACGATTGCAACTTAATTGCGTTAATATTCAAATAAATCTGGTGTAACATAAAAGAGCAAAGAAGAAAAATTATGTGTTCAGTATTCTTGCATCTTGGTGCGGTACTACGTAACGTTAATGTTCCTTTTCTAGTGGTGGGGCAAGAATGATACATGTAGTATCACGGACGCCACACATGACTTTTTACACGCGATCTCCCCGGCGTCACTGTCTGTAGTTCCCGCGTGTACAACTGTCAAACGTAACTCTGTAGAAGTCAGACATCAAAAGTTCCACCCACGCAAACACTCACCGCTCAGACACACTTCACTGGCTGCTGTCTCGGTTCCGCTAGCGACCTTTCAGAATCGATCTGGACAGAGAGAACACCCGTAAGGAACCATGCTAGCCGGTGTATTCAGTCGCTTCCATATTCTGTCTGGGGAAGTGAAACTATCGACAAATCCCGGGAGAAAATCTCGCCGTCATTGAGAGATCAGAAATGTCAGAGTCAAAATAGAAGGGTCAAAGGGCAGTTTGGGTTTTACGATTAGAAAAATAGGGCTGGTAGGATAAGATGCTTTTTACACAAACCCGCAGTGATGTACTATCACAAAACGTATTAGTAATATCAACGTTAAGCTATATTGTAGAGAATGTTGTTATTTTAGTTGATTGGTAACCTTTCTATTTCAAAAGATTTTCTAAACCTCCCTCTCCACTCAAATGGGCTATTCCACAGCTGATGTGTATTTCCAGGCAAGATGGCGGTCGATCGGACAAATTTGTTTCTGGCGACGATAAAAACCGTGAAAACTCGCAATAAGATTTTAAACATCGGTTCAGAAGAAGCCAAAAGTACGGCATCCATTCACCCAAGACCAAAGGGCGAATTTGTTGTCAGAGCAAAAGATGTGGTGAGTCCCAAATCCCCGATTATAGCATCCAAAAATGATGTGTTTTTTTTTTCTTTCATCTTGGCGCTTGCCTCTAGATGACGTGTACAGCGCCATCGTCTATGAATAATACAAATGAATAAATTCTGATTAAGAAGGCTAAACACCTGTGACTCAATGTGACAAAAATGAAGATGATGTATAATTTTTTTTACCCAGCCAGTACCGGTATACAGCAACGATTATGCGACACTCCATATGTTGCAGATTACTTACTCAAGAATCACAACATAACACAGTTATATGATCATATATTGAACAAATGTTATGAACCAACAACTTCTCTGTTTAAGTTTGATAGACACTCCTATAATTTTGTCTGCCACATTTTAGTATTCACTCACAGCTTAGTCTCTACTTCTATGTGCACGTACATTGCAGAAGGTGTATTTCAATCCGTTACTTAATTAATGTGGCCAGATGTAATGTCATATTTTTATTTAAATGTCTACTAGTTTACATAAACATTTTGTTGTTCCCTTGTGAATGTTTTGCTCTCAGATTCAGAATATCAGCAAGTTGAGAGATTTCCTACTGAAACATAGGAAGGACTATATTGATGCCACTGGGTAAGTACCATAAATATTTCTGTCTGATCTGTTGTGACCATGTTTAATTGCTTAAACAAGTTTGAACATGAAAAATAAAATGTCGTGATAGCAGAATTATAATCAATTCACCCTTGACAAAAGCTTCTCTGCTAATTAAAATTCCTTCATCTGGACTAGTCCAGTCAGAAAAAAATTCTACTAACTTAGGGTCTATCAATGATATACATCCATGAGAATGGTATACATCCTCATGGATGTAGAACGATGATGGAGTAAAATGGACAAACATTGCTTTCTTATAATGTATGCCATGAATGTTACGTCAGCTTTCTGACATCAGAAGTATCCAAGATGACAGATAATGAGAGAGACCAGATTGACAATGATGCACAGACATTCATGCGCACCTGCTCAGAGGCCATCAGGATTTTTAAGACAGAAGGTAAACTGGATCTTCTGTTTTGCACTGTTGCATGCTGTTTAAACTGTATATGACTGTGCTTTGACGAATATGTAAATGAAGACAAACTTTAGAAAGACGTGCATCAAAATCATTTTTTTTCAGTGCCTATGTTCCAACACACTAATGTTTGAACACCCCTAAACCCAAAAGGGCTGCCGACCTGCCTAACTGTATGTGAACTTGTACACTGCACACAAGAATTACCTAACTCAGTACTAGTACTAGACTAGTGTGTTGCCATGCTCAAGCTTCTTTCCCTAACTACATGACCACATAATTTAGAATCAGAGATTAACATTCATTGAACAGGATGTATGTTTTCACAATTTTTACATCAGCATTTGTTTATTTTCAGTGCTAAAACAGCCAATGCCACAACAAGTTCGTAGCCACAGAGAGGCAGTATTTGAGCTCATGGAGGCATATCTGAAGGGTAAGGGCTGAATTTGCATACAAATATACATTATTTCCAAGAAACAATTACAACTGATTACATTAATGTCCTAGTAACTGCTTTTATGGATCAGTACAAAGAGTACTCATTATTGTACTGAATATGCATCATGGAACCATCTTGAATACACATCAATATTACAATAGACATTTGTATTACAAAAATATAAATTTGGGTCCTTGAGGCATATCTATCAATTGCAATAAATTCAAGGGACTGACCCTAAAACTGTATCATCCTAAAATACATGTGTATTTGTTTTCGCAGCTCAAAGTATAGATTTCTTACAATAGAATAACATGAACATTGTACATGTATGCAGTGACACAACCTGTTGGTTTGTATCTGTAATATTCCATATGTACCCAGATGTGGTCACAGTTCAAGGTTCTCTACTTTCATAAGGAAGAGATGACAGTGTTCAGGTTGTTTGTTGTGCAGAATGACTACCTGTCTTATCTCTTCTGGTCTTATCAATGGCAGTGTGGTATGGTTCTGTCCTAAGGCCCAGTTTTAATGGATGCTGCTGATATTACTTTAGCCCTGTCATAGATGTCAGCAAAGCCTGTGAAGGCCAACAGATCCATAACCAAGTCATAATCTACCATCACTCATGGTCAAGGTATTTGTCTCGATGCATATCTTTGCATTGTGATTGGCTGTTCGCCGGGTGGAATTGATTGTAATCACATCTGACAAAACAGGAAGTGAAATTTATCGGCTGTCTGCGGTGCCCACCTGCCCATTCCATGTGGCCTCTGGAACTCTAGTTTTGCATACATTCATGGGGGACTGTCTCAAAGGCAATGTTTCTGCCTCTAGAAGAATTGAATTCTTTGATTGTCAATATTGACTTCTGTAGTCTATAAACTACTATTTGAGTGACATTTGCACAGTGTGAAAAGAAATGACCAGGTGTTAACATTGTCAGGCAAATCAAAATTATTATCAGGTAAGGACGTGAAGTTTCTAAATTTTGTTAGAAAGGTAAGGAAATATATACGAAGTGTGAAACAAGCCCCAAGTTCGCAGGTGTGTCATCCCAGCATAACATTGACTAGTGACAGGATTTCTCTCCTGACATACGGACCGCCCGACAGTGATGAATAACTTCACTCAAGCATTGAACAGGTCAGAGAGCGCAACATGAGAAGTTGCTGGGGTGTTCCATAAGGGTTCCCCATCCATGTCACCCTACACCCACTCTGGGCCATCTGGTGACTCACTGCTGCCAACCTGTCTTGTGTGATGTCATCTCCTAGGAAATTAACAGCCAGGATTATGATTGCTATGGAATATCAGAAATAGGATGCTGACTCCTGAGTCAATAGAATTCAAGGACTTCATTATTTCCCTGGCTGGCTTGTACCTGTGTGCAGCACTTAATATGACAGCAGCAAACTTTATCATGATAAATAAAAAGTTATGACCATGCTATAATGATGTTCCAAAGGAACCAGCTTTTTGAGTCTTGTTTTGTTAGCAAAGATCAGGAAAAAATTTCTTGGATTTAAGTTTTTATGAGTTTTCAGCTGCAGCTGTTTTGGTATTTTTGGTGATTCATTTTCACCACAGATTCACTAGACTTGATGCTGAACCTGCTAAAATCACATCTTGGAACGTTTTTCCAATTTACTTTGATTTGTGTACATTGTACATTGTGGGATCTTGCAAAAGGAGTCATGTCAATGATTTTAGATGAGAATGTCATAAATGACACTCAAATGTCTACCTAGTTGCTCAGAGGATTTCACATTATGATCCGTGCACATATTTACGATCTATAAAATGTGCAAGCTGAAGTATATTGTAGATGTCTGTAAATAATATACAGAATTGTTTTTAAATGTCAGAAACTTAAATGTGTTATGTAGTAGTAGCCTTATTTAAAACATTGACTTGTTTATGCAGAGCTAACATTGTAAATCTATTGTTCAGCAGGACAATATTGATTAGCAATATACTTGCATATTCAAAAATGTAATATCAAAATTTGTGCAAAAGATTTATGCAGATAGCTTGAAAAGTTTATGCAAATTAAGTTACATAATTTTACATTTATTATATTGAAAGGGTATTGATTTTAAGTTTTGTGAAAAGGTAGCAGATTTATGTGATCTTGGATAATTTACCTGTAACTATTGTAAATTTTACAGTAGCCAATGTCATTATCATCATGTTTCATCAAGTCAAAACCTTGGCTGTAACCCTATTTTAACTTTATTGATTCGAAATAAATCACAGCTTCTAGGTTGCCTAGTAAGGTCATTCTAGATTTGGCCTTACTAGCCTTTCCTCAAGTTGAAGATCAAATTAGATGTGGCCTGTACCAACAAGCTATTGACTGGTTAATAATGAGCCAAAGGTGCTACTGGTTTGGTGTCTGATATCTCTCGTTTAAACCAGCTATTCTGCTGTTGTATGTACAGCCTTGGGAAACAAAGGTACCAGGAATGGGAGTGGGATACAAGGGATTGTTGAAAGTAGTCAAGAGGCTCAGAAAATTTGCTGATAGTAAGTGGAAAGGCAGACCTCTTCTCATGCACTTGACATTTCCAATAGCTGCTGGAGGCCAGTTTGCCCAGCTCTGAACAATAAAGCCCACGGCAGTAGAATTGCATCTGGTATCGGCAGGTCAATAGGTGACCCACAACGCACATCTATCTCTCTCACCCTCCCTTTGTATGGCTTCCTCCCCTGCACAGAAATCAATACATCCCCATCAAGGTTGGCCTGAAGTGAAAATTTTATCTGGAAATATCTGAGATGAGGGGATTTGAGATTACAGCTCGTTCGCTTGGCCACAGCCGGCACAAGTGTCATCCAACATTGATTTCACATTGTTAATGTAGCTTTTGAAAATTCACCAGTATTTTGGGGTGCAAGGGTAGCTTTGCATGTAATGCCTACTATTAAGAGGTTTTCTGAAAAGGTTGTTTCTTGTAATTTGCTGACAGTTTTGAAATTTTCTTTAGATAAATTGTAAATGAATTCTACATTTTTGTAGCTGTTGCTCTGCCACATTATAATTCAAATGCTATGATCTTTAGAAACATGACTGTGCTTGATTTTATATTTTTATTCTTTTGTTGTAAGTATAACTAACACACTAAAACAATGTGAATGATTTCCCATATCATTAAAGCAAGATATCCCCCATGTTACAAACCAAACTTGTCCTAAATTGGATTCCTGCTACTTAATGTGTCTGCAGAATCTCTCAGAAACAGCATGTATGCTGCCCTTCCATGGTGCTGAAAATGTTGCTGTTATTGAAGGAAGCTGTTTTACAGTAGTATATCGTGTACTGTTCCTGGAAACCAGCAAGAAAAGCATGTGCATCATATACGTACAGTATTTATGTAGAATAACCCTTACAAGGTTTGTATCACAATGGTCATCCTTTTGTGAAGTATTGTGTACTCTTCCTTCAGCCGTGTGTAAGCTGTACAGTGAGCAGAGGGCCATACGTGTCAAAAGGGTCGTGGACAGGAAAAGAATGTGAGTTTCTATATTATTTATAGATTTTTCTATTATTAATGGATACATCGTGTATCGATTATTACATCCTAATAGCCAGGTTGTGGTAACCTTTGATAAGGATAATGCACATGGCATATTGATTCACTTTGATTTGAGTATACATGTACACAAGTAATGTAATAATCCAGTTTTAATGGAAAGGCAACTCAGTCATCATTTTTCTCAAATGAAAAGCTCAGGCACTATATGTATATTACAAAGTTTTTTAAAAATTAAATATGTCACAATATCTTATCAAGAAAAATTACTTTAAAATTACAATTTGAAATCTGGCATGTGCATAGATTGAAATGACATCTGTGTGCTATTTTTGTCAAAATAGTCTGTTCATATCTTTGATTGTATTTTTCACATTAGTCAGAATCACAACAAAGTATTGCTTGTTGAATGATAGATTATCTACTTTCTGTCTTGTCTGCACTCTGTTACTAAGTATATCAAGTATTCTCATACCTACTGCTTCTTCAAATAACTTTGGATGAAACAGGGCAATTTGACTCAAAATGCTTGCTTGTTGAAAGTACTTGTTTGCTTTTGAAAGTTCCCGTTTAGAACCTGAGGGCAGAAGGACAGGCACTGACATGACAGAACTCCGCCAGAGACACAAGAGAGCACGGGCAGAACTCAACAGTGAAGAAGGAGACCACAAAAGCGAGACAGATGACAGCAAGGTCATGAAAAATACACCAGCATCTGATGATCCTCTTCAGATGGAATATTGGGATGAGGATGAGGATGATGAACTATCCCCTGAGGAAATACAGATGGTAAGTTTCATGTGTGACTGATAACATAGCATGTCTTACTTCACATGCTTTTTTGTAGTGTTAGCATTCACTGTTGTATTTGTACATACAAATGATAAATCACTTTACTCAGAAAGCAAATCTCATGATTTTTCAAAGCCCTTTCTAATGTTGTCAACTTTGTATTCCGACTGCGTCTGACACTATGCAATGAGTAGAAATGGACCTTGAGACGGTAAAGCATCGGATTTGGAAGTAATTGCCTGTGTCTGGTGTAACGGCCATGCTAATGAATTCAGGGAGAGGTGTAAGCTGAAGGGATCATTCAAAGTGGCCTTTCCTTTCACCTGTTCTGAGCTTTATGAATATTCCATCATTGTGGCCGTTACAGACTTGAGTCACAGGTACACCAGCCATGGCACAGTCTTTGGAATAATCATGGCATGATCAGCATGAGTTATTGTACAGTTGTGACCTTTTCTGTACGTAGCAGGTGATTATTGAACAAACCATTACTATATGGCTTCATGCACATTTACAGAACGCAACAACAGCTCATGGTATGTACATTTGTATCCAGCACAAATTATACATTATTAGTGGTGAGCCTATGGTTTGTTACGCCGAAGGGCAGTTACATGTATGCTGGCTATAGATACAGAATACAGATAAAGTGCCCAGAAAGGGTAAGATTTTTAAAGACATGACTTGAAAAATGTAGTCCTCACTATGATAGGGTAATATTTTCAACCAAATGTAAGATTATATTTGCCTTTCAGTGCCAACTCATCAAACCATATCACTACATCAATATGCTGCAATGAATATTTTTAGAAGCACATTGTATGATGATATGCAACCCATGTTACTGCAAAGTTGGGAAGACCAAGATGTCTAACAGTGGGTGCTAATCCTCTACATATGCATCTTAAAGGGCCCAATCTATCATGTGCAGCTGAAAGGCCATCTATTATACACCACTTTGCTGATGTATTGTGCAGAAGCTGGCACAGAAGGAAAGTGGAAGAGTGTGTTTCTCATTAAAACCTGTCTGTTCCAGTTTGAACAGGAGAATGAGAGGCTGTACAATGAGATGAACAGTCTGGTGGATGAAGTCAGGTGAGAATTTGAACACCTCTCAAGTCTAGACTTCAATTGTTCTGTGCATGTGTGAAAACTCTTGGAATTGGAATGGAATTGAAAAGAATGGGACTGTTCTCTACCTGCAGTGTTACTTGCTTGTCTCTTGTGAATAATCAATATGTAGAAACACAGGATTGTTCCCCAAATAGTGCATTTATTGTAATTTGTACTCCAGAAAAGATAATAAGCTATAACACATTACATATTACTACACAACAGAACCTGAAACAACCTTGCCCTTGTATGGTATCTACATGACATATGATGTTGTTACTTGTTTGTACTCCGTTGACATTGCAATGGCAGGGAGCCTTTGTTGTGTCCCAAACCGTGCCTTGTCCCAAACCATGCCTGAGCATGGTTTGGGACACACGGCGCGTGTCCCAAACCGTGCCTTGGGACTGAACACAGTTCGGGACACGCGGGGACTGTCCCGAACCGTGCCTGACCGGGCACAGTTCTAGACACATAAGGGCCTTGTCCCATTCCGTGCTTTGGGGGTGGAGCTTATTGTTTTTAGGGAGGAGCCTTCCCGTCGTGTTGTTTACTGTTTTAGGCCGCCATCTTTGTTTTTCGTCGGGGCAAGAATTAGAAAGAATCGGTGTAATTCTTGCTCTGTAAAGTACATTTTAACATTTCACGCTGGTCTACGACTTACGTGTTCTGTCGAAACAGAGAGTCTTGTATCATTCTGCAACACAATGCGAACACAGTTCTTGATACAACACAGCACGTAGTATACCCAAGAAAGCAGACTGACCCGGTCAATCAGAAATAACACTTGCTTATCCACCAACCCCACGCACGGATCCGGATAGTCCTGACGCGTATCGACGACAGAGTAGAGCAAATCAACTTGTAAATAAACAAAGTGTTCGTTCAGAACCGTGCTTCAGGTCAAGCACAGTTCTGGACACGCGATGGCCTTGTCCCAAACCATGCCCGGGCACGGTCTGGGACACTCAGCGCGTGTCCCGAACCGTGCCTGGGGACTGAGCACAGTTTGGGACACGCGGATGCCTTGTCCCAAACCGTGCTTGGGCATGGTTTGGGACACTCGGCGCGTGTCCCAAACCGTGCTTGGGGAAAAGCTACATTCTGGGACACGCGAGGGACTATCCAGAACCGTGCCTGACCGCACACAGTTCTGGACACGTATTATTAAGCTTGCGTGCTAGGGGACTGAACATAGTTCTCATAACATGTTCCCCAAGTTCATGTCGACCAAACATAAGACTAAGTTGTGAGAAAACTGCGTTTTGAAAGCACATGCTGTACACAGACTCGCAAAATCTCACGTAATCTAGCCGTATAAGAAATCGTGGGCGTGAATAATTATGCTTAGGTTCCCGCCAATCACTATGATTGACAGCGCTTCCGGGCACGGTTCTGGACAGTCAGGCCGTGTCCTGTTCTGTGCCTGCTCAGGCACGGAATGGGACGGACACAGTTTGGGACACAACAGCCTTAGTTGTGTGGGTTGTACATGTAATGTGTCTTTTTTTTCCTTCAGACAAATAGAAGGCAAGGTGGTGGAAATCTCCAGACTGCAGGAGATATTTGCAGATAAAGTTCTGCAGCAGGTATGCCTATAGTGGTTAATTCTGATTTTATATTATTACACAACACAAAAAGGATTTAGCCAATCTCGATATCATATCTTGTTTCTAATTTGAAGTGTGACTTACCAGAATACAGCTGATTTTGCTTGGTCATTCCTGTGCAGGAAGTTGAGATAGACAGGATTGCGGACACTGTGGTACAGTCAACTGAAAACATCAAGGAAGGGAATGAGGAAGTCAGAGAGGTGAGTTGTCACAATGAATAAGGCATATATTACACAGGTAGATATGTAAGAACTACCATGTAAGGCTGTTACAGAGTAGAAAGCTTGCCAAATTATCTGTC